CTTCCTCCGCGCGGCCGGCATCCTTCCTTTGCCGCCGCCTCCTTCAGAGCGCACCGACCTACCAGCCACAGAGACTCCGCTTCCAGAGGGGCTGCTGGGGGCGTAGTGGTCTCCCGGTCTCAGGAGGTGGTGTGGGAAAGGAGGGACACAGCGAGCGCCCTGGCTGCGCAGGCACTGAGCAGGCCCGTGGGCCACCGCGAGTGTCTGGCCCCCCTACTCTTTCTCCAACATGGTGGTGGTGCGGTTGTTCCCACGGGCTAGGTTTGTTCAGACAGGAGACACTAGTGTCCAGGGTCCTAGGTGTTGGCTCCGCAGGGTAGCGCCTTTCCCCCAAGACCAGGGCGAAAGAGTTGCCACTGGCTACCAATAGCGCAGGGAGGGTGGTGGGCTGGGGCTGCGGCAGGTGTCACACCTGACCGTGATGGGGCGACGCTGGCAGGCTGGGGCCCTGCTGGCTGTGCTGGAGGAGGCTTGGGGGAGAGATGACGCCAAGGTCACTCCCTGCCCCATTGCCCATTCCTGAGCCACCCTCTTTCCACAACTGGGAGTAGGGGGTGTGGCTTTGGCTCCAGCCTGGGCTCTGGACTCCAGGAGGAGGCTGTAGTTTGCATGCTCGTTTGCTTGGTGTCCAGTTGAGGCCAGATGCCCAGAAACCCGGGCCTACCTTCTGCCCTTCCCTTCCGTCCTGGGTCCTGGCTTTTCTCTCCCTAGCTTGGGAGACTAGGCGAGGGTTACTGGAAAAGGCGGCTAGCCTGGGCTGCCTGTGGGCTGTGACCCAGGAAGGCTTCTGCCCCAGGTGCCTGCCTCCAGAGAGGGCCACCGCAAGGGTGTGTTCTCTGCACGAGGCTCCTTGGAGGGACGAGGTGCCGGCTGGGTGGGGTGCCCCAGAGGCCAGGAGCTGGCAGCAGAGTGGGCATGGCTGGAGTTGTGGTCCAGGAACATGAAGGGCAAATGTCATCTCTCGGAGGGGATGTCGACCAGCTGCAGGGGCACCGTTCTGGTTAGTACTGAGAGTCTGGCAGGGTCAGTGTGCCCTAGGCAGTGTGACAGGAGATGGCCGCAGGTGACAGTGTGACCAGAGCTGGCAGGTGTAGGTGCTGCCATGAAGGTGGAAGGCAGCGTAGGTGGTGGGTTGACTGGCTGGGCAGTGGATGTGGGGGATGGTCCAGTCCCAGGAGGTGGGTGGGGCCTGCTTCTTCCTTTACCTGCTTCCTCAGTGAGCTGGACACCTGCCTGCGGGGAGGAGAGGGGGCCCCTCAAGGGGCCTGTGCCCTCCCTAATGGGTCCCCAGCAGAACTGTTTCTGTGCGAGCCCTGAGGAGCTTCCCTTCCAGCTGCAGGGTGATGCCCCGCCCTCCCTGTGTGGGTGATGGATGTCTTCTTCCAGGATAACCCTTTTGGTACCCGCTCCTGGGTGGAAAATCCCATTCCCTTTTATTACCCAGTTACACCTCCCAGGAAAGCAAACTGGGCCCCCACTGCTGGCCTTTGCCTCCCATCCCCAGCTTCGTGCTTAGCGGGGGTCTGAGACCTGGGAGTCAGAGGGCCCTTTGCCCAGCCTGCCCACAGTTCACAGAAGCATGCTGAGACCAGGGGTGGTGACGACGGAGAGGAGGCTGGGAGTGACATCCATTCCACCTTGTCCCTGTGCAGGTGTCAACTAAGCTGGTGACAGAGGCTCAGGGGGCAGGGGCCAGAGCACCCCTTCTCTGGGATGCCAGCTCCTGTGCCATCTGGAGGTGCTGCCCCCTACAGGAAGGATTGTCTTTAACCCTCCTCGTTGGGAGACCAGAGGACAGAAGCTCCCAGAGTGTGGGGCTTCAGTCTCCTCCCTAACCCTAGAGGCCAGGGCTGAGGTGGGGGGAGGGGGTGCTCCTGGGGCTGGACCTCCAGATGCTCGCCTGTGCCAGTCCTTCTGATCCTGCGGGTAGGGCCGGGCCCGGGATGGGGTGGGGCAGCCGTGCTGTCCTGGGTGTGGTTCCCAGAGGGGTGTGTGCTGGGGGGCCTGGGAGTGGGCAGGGCAGGAGGAGCAGGAGATGCGGTGTAGGCGGTGGGGCGGGGAGGAGGACGGTCCTTAGGACACCTGGGAGAGGGGAGCAGCAGTGACAATGGGGGCCTTACCCCCTGCACCTGGGTCAAGGTGCACTGACCTCTAGCTTCCTCCTGCCCTTGTCTTGTCTTTCTTATCCCAAAGCCCTGCCTGGCACCCCTTTTTTCAGGATTCACCTCAAAGCCACCATGCCCCAGAGGCAAAACCCCGCAGGGCTCTCACTAACACCTGGCCCCCCGGGGTACCTGCAGAGCCGGCTCACTGAGGTGTCTTCCTGGTGGCAGCCTGATACCTCCAGCGATGCCGCCTCCACCCCCTGCCCGACTGTGGGGCTGTGTCCTGACCCCTGGGTGCCCCTGGCTGATACTACAGCCCTGGCTGGGCCTCGGCAGGCCTTGGTGTCCTACTTGGGGAAGGGGGCTCTCAGAGGTTGGGGAGGGGCTGGTTCGGGAGGTAGTGGACTCTTACTTATGTGCCCTGTGGATGGGTTTCCCTGGGGGATCCTGGAAGGGCAGAGCTGAGGGCACCTTCTGCCCTGGGGTGGGTCTCCCCAGTGCTGTGCGGCCTGGCTGGGTCGTCTGTTCTCAGGGGGGGAAACAGATCTGCCTCTCATCACCAGTGCTTGGAGCCCTGCTGCCCTGAGAGGAGGGGGCTAGGAAGGGTACCCACGCGTACTCGGGCCGCAGGCACCACAGAGATGCCTGTGGTGGGGCCCCTGGGAGTTCAGAGCTGACTACCCCAGACCCTCTCCTGTCCCCTTGCAGATGTGCCCTTGTCGGGCACACAGTTGCCCTCCTCCGAGGTGTGCACAGGTGGTGGGCACCTTAGGGCCAGGGACCCTGAGTTGGGGCTGGGTGGCTCCTGGGAGCCCTGTCCTGGCGGAGAGGACTGTGTGGGTTCTGGGAGTGGGTGGGGCATACCTCCTGACGCCCGGTGAGGAAGCGGAGGCTGTACAGCCCCTGAGGAGCCGCCTGGCCTGCGTTCAGGCCTCCACCAGCCAAGCTCTTCCCTCTTCCAGTAACAGGGGGAGGGTGACACGCTCCCCGAGCCCTCCACGGTGGGGTCAGGGTGCTCAGGGATCACCCAGGGGCTGCCAGGGTGGTTCAGGGGTGGCCTGGGATGGATCAGGCCAGAGTATGGCTGAGCTCAGCAAGCTCAGCTTCCATGGTGCCCCTGTGGCCAGGTGCCACGTTCTGCCGGGGCTCACGGAGCAGGGCCAGCACACCTCTCAGACCTCAGACCCTGTAGGTCCTCTTGGCCTCAGCCTCCTGGTGGTAATGGTGGGGAGGGGGCTATATCCTGGCTCATTTCTTTCCCTCAATGGGGTGGGTCAGGCGGTGTTGGGGGGGTGCCCACTGCTAGGGAGCCAAGACTTGGGGTAGGCGGGTGGGTGCTTTGGCCATCCTCATCAGGGGAGGGGTCAGAATGCCAAGGGCCAGGCCTGCACGAGCTCTCGTCCCTGGGGCCAGCCACTGGCTGTCGGACAGCCCGGAACTCTAGAGCCTGGGGGTGTGTATGTGCTCTGTGGTGGCAGGGTGGGTTATCTAGTCCCTGGTCCCTGCCCCCAGGTCCCCAGGCAGCCCACCCTGCTGCAGTGGGGACCATGGTAAATGGCAACAATCCATTTCCAAATAAAGACTCGTTGCTAGAGCCAGCCCTGTGTGCCTGTTGGGGAGTTGGTGTCTCCCCTGATGGGTTGGACTTGAGGGGGCTCTGGCACTGTCCTGAGTGGCTGTGCCAAGCCTGTCCACCCAGTGGCCCAGATCAGCTCCATCCCGGAGTAGCCTACTGGGAGGAAGGGCATGGGAGAGGCAGGCTTGCCAGGCCTCTGCGTGGATAAGACCTTATGGACATAAGGCAGAGGAGGGGCTGTGGGTAGGGCGGGGGCTCTGTCTGGCAGAGAGATGTGCCCTCAGCCACCAGGCGGTGGTGCCTTTTAAGGTCAGGAGGTCCTTGTCGGGGAGGGGGCCCAGGTCCCCCTGTACCTACCCATCGGCAGCCCTGGACCCTGGGCACAGTGTTTCCTCCCTGTCTGCCCTGGGGACCAGGCCAGAGAGGTCCTGCTCTTTGGGGCCTGGCCTGGCCACGGCCCCTCCCTCCCAACTC